AAGAAATTGCTCTTTGATACTGCCGAATGGTCATCAAATCGCTAATTAGTGATTTAAGTGACTACTCCAGTTATGACCCTTCTTACTTTGAAAGACTTACTGAATAAGTCTTCGGAGGGATTTATTAATCTCCTCAGAATTTAACTACTAGTGAATCTTAAAAACTTATGCCCCAAATCGAAAAATTAAAACCTAAAAAACATTTACCGGTGGCCATTAAAACCACCAAAAAGAAACCTAAAACCAAACCTTCTCCCGTTGAATACTATAACTGTCTCTTAGCCTCTGCTCAACAGGACTGATTTGACCCGCAAACAGGTAAGAAAAAAAAGATTACCGCTTGCTGCCAAGACTGTAAAACTAAGGCTCCCGCCCTCAATCAACAACGCGAACAAGAACTGACTAAACTAATCACTTCTTATCGCCAAACCGGAATTAGTTTAAGTAAATTATTACGACCAATTAAATAAAAAACTAATGAAAGATAAAATTTCTAATTTTACTCTTCAAGATTATTTTTAAAATAAAAATGATATGAACCAAGAACCCTTAATCTTACTAACTGGAATCGGAATAGTTGGCTATGTAGTTTTTCATGGTCACCGAATCAATCAAGACTGCTGGCTCTGTCCTTATCGTGGACTAGTTTTTGCGGGCAGTAGTATCGCCTTAGGAGCTTTTTTGGCAGTCAATGAAAATTAAGAAATTATGATTACTTGCTGTGAAATTGCCATCACCTTAGCCATTACCAATATAATCTCCTTGGCGATCTTTGCCGGTTACACTGTGCATTGACGCCTCCGACAGATTATTTTAGAGAAAAAAAACGGTCATGAACAAGCCCAGATTAACCAATTAAAAAAAGAAGTAGCACAATTAAAAACCCGGGGAGATAAAAACTAGACTTCTTCTAATCCAGGATTTATATTTTTTATGTTCATATATGGTTGCTAGTTCCCCCTCTCCCCTTTTATAACTTATGACTAAATGTCTCTTCTGTCAAAAAAGAAAACCTTGATTTGGCTCCAATATCTGCCTTATCTGCTCCTTCACTCAATTACCCTGGCATTAACCAATCATGACTAAAAAATCCGACTTACAACAAGAACTCTTAAAAGAAGTAACCCCCGGAGTTAAACCCTCCGACTTAAAAAGAAAGTTAAAAAGAAGTAAGTCTGCGGATGATATCACTAACATTCCTACTCCTCCACCACTTCCTGATCATCTACTCCACGACCAACTAAAAGAAAAACAAACCGAGCTTGAAAGTTTAAGAACTAAGTTAGCAACTGCTAACCAAGAACTAAAAGAAACTAAACAGCAATTAGATGACTCCTTAGCAGCCCGCACCAAGGCTTTATCTGACTGAACTAAACAGCACGAGCAAATCAAGTCCTTAAATCAAGAGTTAGATGCCACCATTGACCAAGCC